CTTTTTTTTTTTTTTTTTTTTCTTGTGTATCAGCCTGGGAAGACTCACTGAACTCAGCATACAGTCATGCTGATTGCTGTGGTTTATTACAGTAGAAGCACACCCAGCAAAAGAAGCAAAGGGAAAAGGCGCATGGGAGGAGGCCCAAAGAACACCAGGCACAGGCTTTTAAGAATCCTGTTGCAATGGGGGCGCCTGGGTGACTCAGTTGGTTTTGTGCCCAACTTCAGCTCAGGCCATGGTCTCACGGTCGGTGAGTTCGAGCCCTGCATCAACTCTGTGCTGACAGCTCAGATCCTGGAGTTTGCTTTAGATTCTGTGTCTTGCTCTCTCCAACTTGTGCTCGCTCGCTCTCTCTCGGTCTCAAAAATAAATAAACATTAAAAAATAATTTAAAATGTCCTGTTGCAGTGGAGTCTCATGGGTACACCTCATTCCTCCAGCAATGACTCGAGACAATATGTGTGCAACATTGTCTTCCAGGGAAGTTCATTAGTGACTGTGTGCCCAAAGGTTTTTAGTGGAGACCAGTCATTTAGAGAGACCATTTAGGAGTCATTTAGGAGACCAGACATAACTGAAGGTCGGAATTCCAGCAAGTAAGAGATTCTTAGCATAAACCACAGTGTTCGTACAGTTGAGGCAGACCAAGCCACTCTTGCCAGAGAATGGTGGGGACCCTCCCGGTTCCAAGTTCCCAGACGTCAGCCAGTGGCTAATCGAGCAAGCAGAACTTTCTAAGGAAAGCAGTCTCAAACCTGCTGTGTAACTCTTTCCTGTATAGAGCCAGACTTAGTAATTTCCTCGTAGGTCTCTTATACTTACAATTATTTGGGGTGAATGGGGCGCCTGGGTGGCGCAGTCGGTTAAGCGTCCGACTTCAGCCAGGTCACGATCTCGCCGTCCGTGGGTTCGAGCCCCGCGTCAGGCTCTGGGCTGATGGCTCAGAGCCTGGAGCCTGTTTCCGATTCTGTGTCTCCCTCTCTCTCTGCCCCTCGCCCGTTCATGCTCTGTCTCTCTCTGTCCCAAAAATAAATAAAAACGTTGAAAAAAAAATTAAAAAAAAACACAATTATTTGGGGTGAAGTGGTGTATAAATTAAACATTTAAATAACATGGCAACTCTGGCAATCGGATCTCACCCCTCCCTATGATTGATTGTGTTAGCTTTTTTTTTTTTTTTTGTCATTGCTGTTTTCTTGTGAGTGACCTTTCTGAACTCATCCTCTGAAGAAGTCTGTATTCTTTGTCATGTATGACCGTGGTAGTACCTGCTTGGCTACTTGGTGGTGCAGCCGTTGACTGGATCGAGATTGCATTAGCAGCCCAGAACTGAGAAGTCACTCAGTCCTTGCTGAGGGGCTGTGTGGGCATGTGGAACCGTGTCTTCGACACTCAGCTGGCAGCAGAGAACTCTGCCATAACCTTCGCTTGCTGAAGAACAGCATCAAGGTCAGCCAGCGGTGACAACATGGGGGCCTGTGGAGTCTTTTCTGAGCGTGCGCGCAGCCCTACATTTGCACGTGGTCTAGATTCCTAGGACTAAGAGCTTTTCAAAACTCCTACAGAAATTTCATTTCTCAGCTCCTTTTTTTTTTTTTTAATTTTTTTTTATTATTTTTTTAAAATTTTTTTTTCAACGTTTATTTATTTTTGGGACAGAGAGAGACAGAGCATGAACGGGGGGAGGGGCAGAGAGAGAGGGAGACACAGAATCGGAAACAGGCTCCAGGCTCTGAGC